TTTCTTCAAACTTTCAGAATGTCGACTTTTTCTGAAAAAAATAATCATATTACAATATAATATCATATAGGCATTGATTCCATACAAAAATTCCAATTTTTAGTCATTTTTGTATGAAAAGTCTATCAAAAATTATTAAACTAATGTCAGATTCAGTTTTCTCGTGAATTCAAATTTGAGTAAAAGATATGTAATAAATCCATGTTGTGGATCACAGTGCGGGAAAGTTCATCTTACGGATGTAAGACATTTTATTTTTAAAGGAAATATTAGAAGTTTGTTAAAGAATATTTAAAGAAAAATTTAGCTATACCTAGCTCCAGGGTCTTGTTTTGAATATCTTCAATTGCTACTTCAATAGGTTCAAGGACCTTTTGAGATCTAGCAATGACTTGGATGCGAGTCTTCACATATGGAAAATGATTCGACGTTGTAAGAATGGTTTTTTTCTTGCATTGCTCATGAAGTTCTCCATGTGATTTCCCACTTTTTGTAAATGGTGTTGAGTATATGAAGCGCTCTATTTTGGATATGTGATCGATAAAAATTAATAGATTAAAATATTATCAGATAAAATGAATACATTACAACATTAGGGTGGTTTTTTTAGGTCATTTTTCGGAATTTGTTGGGCAAATAGTTTTTTTGCGTCTATTAGACGTCAGAAACAACATACCGGTGTAATTTTTGGTTTTCGTCTCACCAGTAGGTAGCGCAAGAGCTATATCGATTCCATGGTGGATCCCTTATTTATTCCTTGGAACACTAGATTTTGTGAAAATATAAAAACATCTTTTCTCAATCATATCGGTCCGAAATGAAGTGTTATCATCATTTATGACCAGAATTTAGGTCCTGGTGAAGTTTCAAGCGATTTGAATGAAAATAACACAGTTTTTACTTAAAATTTCCTACCATAAATCTAACAATGTACTAACGGTAATACACATCTCCATAATTTGATGCGTAGTGAAGCTGGAATACTTTTCAAAAAAAATAATTGATTATACCTTTGGTATACAGTCGTTTGGACGTTCCATATAGGTCGAAGACTGATCGTTTTATTGAACATTGGGAAATGTAGAAATATGGTCGAATCGGTTAGAATGATCACTTTTTGGTTACCTTACAAAGTTACCTAAACTGACTTTCCGAAGTATTCCAATCACCGAGTTTGTCCATTTTGGGCAATATTTTCACCTCACAGCACAAAATGTACAATTTTTCTGAATTTTTCAAAAACCCAAAATTGACATCACTTGTAAAAACTGTTCTATTTTCATTCAAATCGCTTGAAACTTCACTAGGACCTAAATTCTGGTCATAAATGATGATTATTCTTCATTTCGGACCGATATGATTGAGAAAAGATGTTTTTATATCTTCACAAAATCTAGTGTTCCAAGGGATAAATAAGGGATCCACCATGGAATCGATATAGCTCTTGCGCTACCTACTGGTGAGACGAAAACCAAAAATTACACCGGTATGTTGTTTCTGACGTCTAATAGACGCAAAAAAACTATTTGCCCAACAAATTCCGAAAAATGACCTAAAAAAAAACCACCCTATTACAACATACTTATATTGAAATTCCGTTCGAAGTAAGTTTCTCGATGGCGTAACTCGTAAACTTCAAAATAAGGCTCAACATATGTGATCTGAATGTACGCCTTATCGGGATCAAGTGTTGAAACCTCAACGATATTCGAATCTTTGATGATATGAATGTTTTCAACGCCAAAACGATCAGCATAAAAATTCTAAAAATTTGTAATAATATGTAAACTCAAATGCCACATAAGTAAATGAATAAGAAATTTATGGGCCGGATGGTTTACCTGCAATCGACTGAATATTTCTGGAAGTTTTGTTAACGTTGGCTCTTTATAAACGAACTCTTGTTGATCCAAATCGCCAAATTTCGATCCATAAAAACCGACACGAAAATAGGTACCGAAAACTCGTTTTCCTTGAAGTTGTGCAATACGATTAAATGCTTCATGTAATTTGCCTAAAAAAATTATGTAAGAGAATATGTGTATACTAGTAGTGTGCGAGCAAAATTTTCCAGGGGGGGGGGTGATTTTATATAAAGAAATCTAACCGACTCAAATACAAAAATCAAAATTTTGGATTTTTTGCTCATTTTTGTATGGAAGATATCACTCAATTGTATTGAAATTTCTTCAAACTTTCAGAATGTTAGCTTTTTGTGAAAAAATTAACACATTTTTGATGGGTGTTAATTTTTCGACCGATTCCAATACTTTACCTTACACAATAGGTGTGTGCGAAAAGTAAAAAATAATATCTTGGGGGTTTTGACCCCCTACCCCCTGGGGGGTGGGGGGACTTGGAGGCCTAGGATCATAAACATTTCTCTCGTCATTCTGAACAACGTTGTAGTACATTTTTTATTGATCCGACCCTAGACCCAAAAGGGGCACCCTTTATTTTCACAGAATTTTTTTCGGCACTTTACATCGATCTGTACTAAGGAAAGTAAACAATTTTCGTAACACTTTGGGTACTTTACTGGTTGGTACTCAACTGCAATGCAATAGGTTTTTACTTTGTTGGTCCACTTTGACAACTGATTTTAAATAATTCGGACCCGAGAAATTCAATGGTGTTAACCATTTTGAGAAGTTAGTTCAATATTTTTGAGTAAATTAGCTATGGCTTTCCATTCGATTGCTATGAAAATTGTTTATTGTGGGTTTTTTGGTACGAGAAAACCAAATATGACATTTATTTTGCGGTAGAATACGTTCATGGTAGATTTCCTATACAAAAATCTCAATTTTTC